TTAAACTTCAATGCCGATTATAACTGTAGAATATTGCAAAAATTTAAACCAATAAAACAGTCAGTGGTAAAATAGAAACCCGGGATTTTTCCAAATAAAAGTGTTGATACATATAGTTTTGTGTTATTGTTGAACTATTTTTAAATAATACAATATTTTTGCCTAGGTTTTATAAGAAAAAAGTATCGCTTTTTAAATCACATAGTTACAGTTTTGAAGTATTCTGTTAGTAATAGATATTAAGTATAAAGCATGCTATATTTGCCTGTAAAGGGTTGTGCAATTAGTTTTTATTGTTATTTTTGTTTGTAGATGTAAGATTTGATGGTAATGCCCATTGGAAAACCTTTTTTTAATAGATATATAGTTAAACAGAGTACTGCCACAACGTATCAAACAACAAGTAGACTTTTAAAAATTGCAATTTCCTATCAATATACTTATCCGATGTTTGGTGTATAGGGTGAAAAGGTCAGATTTTTATTTTTGTTACAATATTGCAGTCTTAACATACTTTTAATGTCTGATATTATTGCATCATTACGAATATTCTTCTTAAATATCAACTTACTTTAAAAAAGAAAATCAGTCTTATTAGGTTCACAAAAGTTAATTTTTTGTTTTTATAGTAATTAGGTAAAATAGTATAATAAAAATGAATTACCTATTATTAATAAAGTAGTTGAATAGCGGAAGGACAGACACATCATGTACACGAGTTTAATTTTGTGCTGGCTTTTCCCGGCCTTCCACAAATGCTTAGCTTTGCGCTACTTACAATATACCTTCGAAGCTGTTATAACGTAAATATGCCAAATTTATATAAAAACTAAATTGGTTTATACCATTTTCTATATTATGGTGTAAATTGACTACATATAGCATGATGCTCAGATAAAAGATGGACCTAAAGACTACTCAGATATGGAAAAGACCAACGGGAAGACGGAATAGAGAGCGCCCTAGAAAAAAAGTGGATAGAAAGTATAGAAGCGTCAGCAGGAAACGAATGGAGAAAGAAAGCTATAGACGAACAAATTTGTTGAAGGAGGCCTTTGAACCCTTGAAGGAGTTCCGATCAATAGTACTGAATCAAGTTATGATAACAAGAAATAAATTATAATTATCATTATGTGTAAATTGTGTCATAAATTGTCGTACTTATTTTCTGCCTTACTTTCTTTAACGCTACCTTCGATGCCAACCCGAAGGAATTATCGTTTCGGCAGAAAATAAATCCTGGACAGTGAGCTCGCACATGCGCGTTACCTATTTAAAATTCCCTTAACCATACGAGTAGTATAACCGTAGATAAATAATTTTATTATATTCCAGTTAATTTGATAGCAAAACAATTCTGCAAATAATCATGATAGTATATTAGCAGAGATAACTAGTATCTCTGTAAATAAACGGAAGTTGTATGACGCAAAGTGCTATCAACTATTATTTTTATATGAACCAGAACAAAGCATATTATGATAAATCACTCATGAGATCAGACATTGCATCATGATTTACGATCCTTTTAGTAGTTGCGAAAACAATACCTGAGCTACGTGTTGCTTTGATACAAATGTAAACAACGCCAAAGTAATATTAACAAGACAAAGCTTTCAATAGAGTTTATCTCTTCGCTACACTGAATTTTTGATAAGACTTGTAAGACAATCTTATTGAAGTGAAACTTCTTTAAGCGCATGAGGGTAAAATTTTTACGGAACGTCACGAAGATGTTATTAAATATGTGCTTTAATATATTGTGGCGTAATTATTCATACTTAAACACCGATGGTGTTTTTAATACATATCAATATCATTATTATTTTATTAAATAACAACATACCATTTTTTTTGTTGGTTTTCTATTTATAAGGGCACAGAACCAAGACCTTTTTTACTAAAACCCAGTTGGCTATTTTAGAAAATGTGGAAATAAGTTAGCAATTATGATGATAATGAATTTGTTATATACTGCTCAAAACAATTAGCGGAACAAGATTTTTCTCCTTTCTATTGCTTAAACTAAAATTAGATTTAAATTAACTTGTACGCTATTTTTTACCTTGTTAATTTGTTAATTACTACAATTAATAAAAAAATCAATTTGTATTTTTTTATTAAAAAAAAATAAAATGTGATTGTAGAGAAAAACAAAGTGACGTCTTTGAATTTTCATTACTTTCTAATCACACAAAACACATTTTAAGTATTTTTTTCAATCTTTTGAGTATTAAAGAAATTAAGTGAGCCTTTTGAGTATGTTATTCATTGAAGCGAGTGAGTTTAGGTCATAAGCCAGATCTGACTGAATTGCATGTCTCCCGAGCTATCGCTTTGCTTGAAGAGGGTCGAACTATGCGTTATGTAGGAAATGATAGGAGTAGCCCCTTCTGTTACTAGACTTTGGAAGCGATACCCTGAGACGGAGAATACTCACGAAGGCGTGGTCAAGGTCGAAAGAGAAAAACTACATTTGCAAGATCGCTACATCGTCAACTGTGCTTTACGTAACCGACCACACGCAAGAGATCTACAAAATACACTAAGGACGGCTACTGGTGTAGAAACTTCCGACCAGACTAGAAATAGGTTGTTGGAAGCCAATTTGAGATCACGCCGACCAGTTCGGGCTGTGCGTCTAACAATTCAAATAGACAAGTCGCCGACAGTTCGCGCAAAATCACGTAATTGGCAACTTCGACATGGAGGCCAGTGCTTTTTACTGACGAATCACGATTCCGTCTAACACGGGGATGGTCGTCTCCGTGTTTAAGACGCCCAGGCGAGCGATACAGTGCAGCAGCATCCAGGAATATGACAAATTTGGATGTGGCTCTGTGATGGTTTGGGGCGGAGTTAGTTGGACGAGCGCACAGATCTCGTCGTTGTTCCCGGGGCTTGTGTGCTCAAACTTACATTGAAAATGGCTCGAAGATCATGTTTGGCCCGCAGCATATGGTATGGGCCCAGATTTTCTTTAAAGATAAGCCAGGCCGAACGAGCCATCACGTAGATTACTTACGACAGCAGGAAATCCGTGTAATGGAGTAGCCTTCCATGGCCCTGACCTAAATCCAATTGAACAATTTGGGACTTGCTTGACAGGCGCACCGGAAGCGTCCGATTGCACCTCAAACGAGAGCTCACTGAAGCGTTGATTGAAGAATGGGAGCGAATTCCAAGAAGATATTCGGAGGATCATACGAAGATGGGTCGTTGTCAAGCCGTGATTAGGGCTCATGGAGGCCACACACGTTACTGAAAGTCACTAAAGACGAATATTCAAACGATATAAGAATATTTCTTTGATGGACCTTTTTTATCACCAATTAGTTTTTCGTCTCTGCACATTTTAATTTTTTTAAATAAAATAATACAAATTGAATGTTTTTATTAATTGTAGTAATTAACAAATTAACAAGGTAAAAATAGCGTACAAGTTAATTTAAATCTAATTTTAGTTTAAGCAATACAAAGGAGAAAAATCTTGTTCCGCTAATTGTTTTGAGCAGTATATTATTCGGTAATTGGTACTATATTTATGAAGGTATTTCTATATAATACATAACAACAACTTATTTTAGTTCTTGTGTTTCATTAGCCTTATTATTCATTAATATAAAAAGACGGGAAAAATTATGGGATTTGGGCAGCGTTATTACTCAATAATTAATTTACAAAGAAGTTTCACTTCTGACATGTGTACTTTGTAAGCACGCACTTTTTATTTTTTATACTCAAACATCTATTTATTTTTCCATTACGTACTGAGCTATTTTGGATTTTGTAGGTAATAAATTATGATAGAAATCGTATCGTAAATTGACATTGCAATGACGATGACGTTAGAAATGAAAGTGGGAAAATTAAAAAAAGAGAGGGGTAAAAATGCACCTGAGAGCTGAAGCAACCCTTGCCGGAGGATCGACATGTGTGACATCTTCAATTTCCCCTGTTGATCTTCTTCTGTCACGACCCGCGAGCAACTCTATCATAGTCCAGAAACCATCAGATGCATTCGACGACACCCGTTGCATCGTGAGCTATTACTGCACCTTACCCCAGGCGCGGCTTAAGGTGCAATGACTGCTTTTATCGTCGCCAAGTGCCAAACAACCCACCCAACCCCGTGTGTCTGACACCACACACGCGAACATTAATCTCGCACCCTCACGTTTCCGTATCCAACCAAAGTTTATCGACACGTGTTTGAATAGCGTTTTAATTAAATTTGCGCGATATTGATAGACGTTTAATTCAAATGTTTGATGAGGTGTCGTATGGGTGATGGAGCTAACCGCGATCAGCCTTCGCAAGTGTTTACAATTTGCGGAAATGAATGCGAGCTTATTCGTTTAACTATTTAATCGTAGGAAGTGGTATAACCTAGGAAATTTGACAACGCTGGTTCTCTGGGTGACCCGGATGGCGCCAACGTCGCGGCCCGCGACCCGGGTCAGCTAGATTCTTTTATTTTCACGCAAACGGTAACAATTTCAAAATGAAATCTGAGACAAGTGTGTTTTATAATAATAAGTTGGTATAGTATAATAAAATTGCTAGTCTTAAAAAAGGACTGTTCATATAAAAAGGTTATCTAAATAGATGCAGAGGAAAGAAAAAGAAACTAGTTTTTCGTTTTTATGATTTTGGTTAGTTTCGAATTTACATTTCCTTATAAATTTTGTTTTATTAAAAACCACAGATAACACGATACACGTGATGAACGTAAAACCTATATTTAGGATATGATCAAGGAAGACGCACGATTTTGATATCTGTTATTGTGACGCTCTAAATTGATAAAATAGTCAAGGGTCGTCTCGCAAGATAAAACAAAAAGCGTGGTGACGTTGTATTATTATTATATTCAGTTTACATAGTAGTTACTAGCGAACTTAGTTAATTTTAAATAATCTTATTAAAACAATACATAAATGCTCAAAAGACACTTTTGATCACTATGTCTTCAATATATATTTAGTTACAGCACTTACGCATATTGAATGATTTTCGCCTGCCACCATCGAGGTAGATTAGGAAGTTGGAACCTCTTCATCTTCCTCCTACCAGCCTCACCTTCCACTTCATCTTCGCCCTCCACCTTGCATTGAGTTTAATATTTCCATTAATTCTCCCTATACTCTCACATAACAATTTATTCTAGCCTAAACCAATTTGTAAGCCTTAATTTTTTCATGCAATGTAGATCCGTCCAAAACGTTGTCTAGACAGCTAGTTAACATAAACCGAACTTTAGGTTTACTCTAAGGATTTTAATAATTTGTTTTGTGTACAATATGTAGTACTAGTAATAATATATAGTACCTATAGTAGTGCCTTAGAAGGTGTGAAGGTAGGCTAGTCTTTTGTGCCTTTCAAACCGTAATATTTTAATATACCGTAATTCGATTACACAAGAATAGCTAAGCGCATATAATTAGGAACCTAGCACCAATTACCCAATATAGAGGCGGTCACTGACTTCAGTCAAGAGATCATCTTGTAATATTTTAAGGAAAATTCCTTTTTCACCTCTACGTTTTTATGATAATTAATCTTTATTATGAATGATGTAATTTGTATTTCACCTGTATTTTGACCCTTTTATCTTTTTCTTCGCCTTTATTTTCGTTCGACATTTTTATTGTATAATAAGTTTATTGATTATTTACACTGAAATTTTGTTAACGCTAAATTTTGTATTCAAATAAACATTACACAGGAATTTTGTTCTTGGCCCAAATAATTTGTTATTAAATCTCTGAGGCTTTTAAATTTTTGATAACATATTGTCAAAGACTTGCAATCAATTGACAAATACGTCATATACGTGTATAGGTCGGTTATCGAAAGCTGGCGGGTTCACAGTACTCACACTAATGCAATTTCACATACAGTATGTTTCAAAATATGATTTTTTTGCCATGCTATACATTTTAGTTCACTCATACACGACGGACAGTCTATTCATGATGTATTTATGATTGTATTTCAGTTTGACATTACGTCTCGCGCTTATTCACAGACACTACACAAGCACAAAGTGTAAATGTGTTGAAGCCGCCAGCTTTAGTTAACATACCTATATGTCAATTCTTATTCTATGGTTCAAACTCTATCCTGTAAATGGCCGCTATAGATACATATTTTAAATGTCTATAGTTTCTAACAGTAATTTAATGTTTAACAAATTATGCAAATATTTTTTATAGAACATGGGGAAAACGCGCATGAACCTCATTTGATGTTAAGTGATACCACCTATGGACACTCTCAATGCGAGAAGGCCTTGCCGGTGTTTAAACAATGGATACGCTATTTTTTTGAAGGACTTAAGTTCTTCAGTGGGTAGCTGGTTCCACATAGTAGTGGTGCGCGTCAAAAACTGCCTTAAATAACACTCAGTTGTCGAACGACGGACGTCGAGGTGGTATATCATACAGGTGAAACATCGTATCTGTCTCAACGTCCGATGATGCCTTTTGGCAATGTTATGTGTCCAAGGGCGGCGGTATTACGTAACATCAGACGAGCCACTTGCCAGTTTGCCCCTGTTATATAAAATAAAAACACGGTGTATGCTTAACCGTTAACGTAACGTTAGTATGCTTTAGCAAAAAGTTGGTATAATACTCCGAGTTCCGACAATATTGACTTTGGAAATAGCAATTGATGCTAAAAGCCTCAAAGCTAACGGGTTTTCCATGTCAAAAGTATAAGAATATATCTATTGCGTGAGCTATTCAAATATCAACCCGCAGGCTTTGCACAATAAAGTTGTCTATGTAAATAAGAATTAATGTTACAATAAATTGAAAAAAAATATATTTATAGATTTCCAATTGATAGTGACAAGCTGGTTAATTCTCTTCTAAATAATAATGATCAGTTAAACGGGTACAGTAATCCTGAACCATATAGGGTCGTATATCTTATGTTTTAATCCACTGGTGGTGTCTTTGTGTACATAAGTTTCAAACGGCTAGACACTAGCTTACACTTAAAATAATAAAATAACACTTTTTAAATTATTTTATTAAAGTCAAATAAAGTTTAAAAAATATACAATAAAACAATATTTTAACACAATAACTTTAAGCAACAATACAAAATAATATTAATAGAAAAATACCTATACGAAATTTAGTAACTTAAAGCACAGGTACTGACATGACATGAGAACAGAACACGTCTTATTCAGCAGTTCCCTTGGGATAAATAAAAACCTTTTTTTTTTCAAATTATTCCATTTTTTTGTTTCCTAAACATACAATGATTTATTGTTCCAAAGCCAAACCTGGTTTATATGATCGACAGGAGTATACCGCTCCGCGATCGGTCCGGATAAAATAATACAAAACCCTTAACATGGCTAGAATTAAAATGTAAATTTCTTGTTAGTAAGAGTTTGCTGTAATAAATTAGAAAAACATTTTTATACAATTTATTTTTTTCTTTGAACACTATTAGCTGTGGCTTCTAGAGGGAATGTCTGACGTTTTGCAGCCTCCCAACAAATCCGAATATCCGGCTCCGCAGGACCCCACAAATTATTCGGTTGACAACATGACTGAAGTCTCTGAAATATTTTCGAATCAATAATTTTGCATTGGATATACAAACACACACTAATACGTCATAGTGAATAATACGTCAATCGAATCTTTCATTACACTAATAAAAACAATAGCAAAAAAATTAATATACTTGTATTAAAAAACCTTATACCTGTTTAAAGGATCCCTTAGTTTTAAACAGAAGTCGGACTGCGTGTATTGGAACGAAGACTACTGCGATCAGAGCGACGAACCATCCTGCTATACCTGATGCCTGGCTTAGAGAGTATGCAATCATTATCTATAAAGAAAGATTTATTTTCGTTAGCACATAACGGTTTCTAAATAAATTAATTTGCTTTTTGAATTTTGAAAAGCTCTAGGAACAGCTTCAGAAAATTCAACTGTATGGGAAATATTTAATGAATTGCGGATGACAGCACTGGGGATACTTTTTACACTGGCCGGGCAGGTATTTCTCGGGCAGTTGTTGATGAGTACCGGAACAAACATGTGTATGAAGTCGAAACTCTCTATGAGAATTGGGAGAAAAACCTATCCAATTTAACCCAAGAAGACAAAATTTGTTGCTAAACACCCTTGTGCTACCCCTTTTGAAAAACTCTTCTTAAAGCCACAGCCACATTGGAATACTTGGTTGACATATGGCGATTCAGTTTCGCGGTCACTTGAGGGAAAGGCTAAATTAGCTCGTTGTTGGGGGTATTACTGTAGCATGAACTAATAAAGCGAATTGCAATGATACTGTCCTCTGGGGCCCAGTACCAGCTCCTTCCACTTGACCGTATAAATAGAGGTTCGAATCGTGACACCAATCCTTGAGGGTTGTCGGGTAGAGTTGGGGTATCTGCATTAGTTAATAAAGATTTGAAATATGATGAGGAGAAAGAAATACTATACTCGATCGACTTAATGAGGTTTCAGTTTGGCAACTGACACTGCCATGAAGTATTCCCGACATTCGACTTAGGTCCTTCAAGAAAAGAGCGTACCAATTTTAAAAGGCCGGCAACGCACTCGCGAGCCCTCTGATTGAGAGTGTCCATGGCGGCGGTATCACTTAATCGGAGGTCACCGTTTGCCCCCGTTCTATAAATTGTCGTTTTAGTAATAAAAAATTGTCAATTGGTGGGCATATTTGCGAGATTTGTGTTTCATAGCTGTATTGCGAGATCCGATCTCTTTAGTCTGTTTAAAACAAATTGTGTTAAGTTTCGACACAAATATAATAATTAAAAATATACATAATTTTAATTTTGAAACAGCGATGAAAATGAGACAAAAAAACGTGTGTTTTCAAATCTTTCATTCAATCAAGTTAAACAAACTATCCTTATGTGTATGAGAAGTTAAGGACGACGGTCGACGCTAAGATTTAAAAAAATGTCAAAATATAATACGTATTTGTTGTACTTTGCGAAGTCTCGTTTGTATGAAAATGTACCAAATAATTTAAAATATGTAAAGAAATATTTAAAAAACCAAACACTGAAAGACTTACCAATAAAATCGTCGGTACAACATATCGCCATAAAACCATCCATATTTTTTTCAAAGGTCGTCCCGTCATGAATTCCATATCTGCGGCCGTGTTTTTAGGTCCATACAAGTAGGCAGCCGCTAGGAGTTCCAAGAAACACACCAAAGGAACACTTACAATGGCTACATGGGCGTCTAGGAGATCAACGATATGCAATCCACCCTGGGAAAAAGGAACAAGGTATAATTATAGAATGTTTCCCTATATTATTGGTACGAGTCATACGTATTAAATGGCACTTTAAATGCATAAATATATACGAAGCTGTACCATATTATTATTATTATATATCTATATATTATATATCTATGTATTATATATCTATATATTATACATATATATTATTTATTATATATCTATACACAAAGTTGCTGTAGATATTTTGTATGTTGTAAAGAATGAACTCAAGAACTATTAGAACGATTTCTTAATAGGTTATATTTTTAAAAAAATACAATTCCTGTCGTGCGATGCCATGACAAGCTGTTAGTTTATTAATAGAAGCCCACAAACTAAAAACACAAGTACTAAAAAGCGATGGTGTTTAACTTGAATCAGATGTATTTGTGCACCTAACTTAAAGGTACTGAGAGATGACTGGAGATCGAAATAGTTAAAATAATTTAGTATGGAAAACTTGATCAACGTTTCTTTGCGTTGTGGCGGATTTGGAACTAAAAGTAACATACGTTTATATTCGCATAGAATTCTTGTAGCGTACTTAAATATATTACTAGCTGACCTGGCAAACGTCGTTCTGCCATGTATATCATTTATAATAAAAAATAGGGGTTAATCATAGAGGGGTGAAAATAAGGGGTTGTATATTGTATTTTTTAATGCTGTATCATAAAAAAAATTTATCTAAAAATTAAAAAAATAATAATTTAGGGGTGGACTACCCGTAACATTTAGGGGGATGAAAATAGATGTTGTCCGATTCTCAGACATACCCAATATGCACACAAAATTTCATGAGAATCGGTCAAGCCGTTTCGGAGGAGTTTAACTACAAACACCGCGACACGAGAATTTTATATATTAGATATACAAAATCCATACATTAAGCCCCACATTCATAAAAACTAAATCGTTCTAGTTGCACTGCTTCAACTAAAGTCTAGTCTCATTGTTTTATCCACAACCTGCCTCTTTTCGACAGGAGACACACAGTTTGACAGAAATAGACATAAGAACTTTAAGTAAATAAATACACTTAGTTTGATAAATATTTGAGGTTATGTTAAGTTAATATTTTAGAACAATTTCTATATTTTCAAGGTTCTTCGATAATGTACCGTATTTGAATTCTTGATAAAACAAAGTTTGTGCTAAAAGTAGTTTAACGATAGCTTATGAGACAAATTACATTGAAGATTTAACATTATTATTATTATGTATATAACACTAGGAGTTTAATAAGCTGATGCGCGCGTATTTGGAGAAACTATCTAACCTATTTTTAAAAGAGTTCAAGGATGGTGCACTAATTACTCTTTCCGGAAGCCTATTCCAGTCGGCCACTAGTCGGTTTGGGAGAAAGTTCTTTAGGGAATTTCTGGTCGGCAGTTTTAAAGAACTACCCCTCAAATGTGTATTTTCACTTAAAATAAAGAGCTTTTCGATTCCTGGCACATTATATTGGCCAGTGAGGATTTTACAGGTTTCAATGAGATTTCCTCGTATTGTTTGCGTTTACCTATAATATTTAATATTTTTTATCGGGGAACATAAGTGACATCCGATTAAGACTACAGCAGGCCATGGACATTGGACCCACTGTATTCAAAGATCTATGGATGCGTTTCCGGCATGATAAACAGTTGATATTATTCAAAATATGATGAATGTTTTAAAATCGAAAATGAGTTGCTAGAATTTCGTAGAGGCTCTACGATGTATGTCCTTTGCTTAAGAACAGCTTAGTTGGCATTTTTCCAATTTCAAGATAAGCCTAGCCTCAAGGTTTTATTATAGTTTATAGAACTTGTTATTATTGGTTTGTTAACCCCAAAAACTTTTGTAGCACAAGGCTCACTGCATTACTCCAGTTAATAAAGTGATCGTACTAAATGAATTTTCTTAATAATATTCCATACTTTATTAGTGGTAGAAGGGTATGTATAATGTATGTGTTGTATTAGCTGATTATTAAGAATATTCTAAAATTCATAGATTCGGCTACGAAGCAAATTATTGTATATAAGCAGCCATTATGGTGGCAATTCGATTATGAATCAGCTACTGGAGATGTTACATTAAGGTAAAATCAAATAAAAAACTATTTGTTGTAATATTAAGTGAAACAAATAAAATAAAAAATTGTAAAAATTTGCGTTGATAATAGTCGAATAGAATTAGATGAGGCATTCAAGTTGCCTTTGTGTCCTTATTTCACTAATGAAATGAAACTTACCCTCGTAGTACAAATGATGGATAAACAGAACAAACAAACACACGTGACAAATGTTATTATCCTTTTCTTTGTTCTTAGCTGAGGAAACTCATCTAGAATTCCAGAAATCACCGCTTCTATAGTGACGAACTGAAAAATGAATGCATATAGCCAGAATGATACAACAAAATTTTTAAGCATATGATTTCCGGACTGTAAAAATTAACTGTATTAACAAACGACGTAGTTCGAAGTTTGAATGAAATTTGAAGGGTTTAACGTATTGTTATAATTTTATGTATTATCATTGGATTTAGAATACAAGTTTCAAATGTGTTCTAAATCTGGTGGCCAGAAAAAGTATAGTTTGTTTCCACCACACTATTATAAACTATATTTGATTATAAATACAATAATAAAGTGTAATACATATCCTAGTTCTACTAATATATTTAATACGGCAAGCTTTTATTTTACATATGCTGACATGACTTCCAGTTTCATATTGAATGAGTAATACTGTTCAAGTCATGATATATGCTTTTATCGGTACAAATATTCGAGCGTGATTCATGAAACGATTTGCAAAGCGTTAACGCACGCGAGGATGATTGACACTCGCTTAAAATTTAATATATTTAATCGTTTCGTGGAATGCAACTTCTTGGTGTTCACCAAAGAATATGCCGTTTGAAACATACTTCAATACTATTTATATACATAACACCTTTATAACACCTTTTATTTATAAACGTAAATCGAAATCGTATATTTTAATAGATAAACAAAAATATAAAAGACTTTGTCTATACGTGAATTGAAGATTGAAGGTGTCGCTACAATAAAATAATGGGGGAAGTCAATGCAGGGACACAAAAACTTTTTAAAGTAAATCATATTTATCTCTTAGGATCTAAAAAGAAAGGAAAAGATTATTTGAGAGTATTCATAATTTCAAGAGTTCCAGGTTGAAGTAATATTGATGGAAATGATACGAAGTGTTATAAAATAAGGAAAAACTTACCATGGAATCGATTCCCAAAGAGAACAGCATTATAAAGAATATGATTGCCCAGAAGTTAGGTGCTGGCATCATAGCGACTGCTGCTGGATATGTCACGAAAGCTAACCCTGGACCAGCTGTAGCCACTTCTCCTATTGGCACACCAGCTCGCTCGGCAGCGAAACCCAGAACGGAGAATACCACAAAGCCAGCCAGAATGCTGGTACCACAACACACCACCGGTATAATTATTGAGGACCTGAAATATATGAAATTATTCTTGAAATTGGCTTTAAATTAAAACAAATGTCAACGGCAGTCGTAAAGGTTCATAAAAAAACGAATTGTATTGCTACGAGACGGAGAATTTAGATTTTTCATATTATATCATTTTTTAATAGTAAAAAGTGCCGAAACTTCTATGGGATATTCAAAATTATTATTACTAAGAAATTATTTTGTATTGTATTGTCAATTTTGAACATAAATATTTAATTACTAATTACCGTAAATTGTCGTAATTAAATCTGTTGAAACTAGCCATGCTAACTAGTCCACCCCATCCAGGCCCCACTGAGAAGAAAACTTGGGTAGCAGCATCAACCCATACCTAAAACCACAAAGATTTTCCAATGCATTGATTGCCTTTGAACTTAGTGAAATAATAATTATTTCACTGGGAATCCAAGCTAGGTCACAATTTTATACGCAATGTGAGTTCTCTATATAGACACATAGGCGAGCACGCGCATAATAAGGGTCTTAAAGAATTTTATGATACCTTAATTGAAATAGAAAAAAAAAAAAAAAAAAAAAAAAAAAAAAAAAAAAAAAAAAAAAAAAAAAAAAAATTTTTTTTTTTTTTTTTTTTTTTTTTTTTTTTTTTTTTTTAAAAATCCCCTATTTTTTTTTTTTTTTAAATTTTTTTTTTACCCCTTTTTAAAACAAAAAAATTTTTTTAAAAATGGCCCGGGGGGGGGAAAAATAAAATAACGAAAAACTTTTGTACTTCTTTTTTGTTTTTGTTTCAAGTAAAATACATCAAAAATTAATTACCTTCGGTTTACATAATTGGCTCCAATCTGGCAATACGTAATATAATATACCCTGCCAAGCCCCTGGCAATGTTGTTCCCCGCACTAATAAAGCAAGTAGGACGATGTATGGAAACGAAACCGTTATATAAACAATCTGTAATAAAAAAAACATATTGAATTGAGCGCCGTCAACAGACAAAATGTCTGTCTTAGTTCGAAAAAGCTAATAATAAAACCTATATTTTGGATTCTTATTATATATTTACGGCTTTAAAGACTAATTAGAATATATAATAATAATATAATAATAATATAACAATAATAATATAATAATAATATAATAATAATATAGCCTTTAAATTCCGAAACTCTGTCATTTTATATATCTGAACTTTAATATATTTTCACTCCAGTATATCTCGGAGTTCGGTTTGCGGAATTAGAATATATAAGGTAACTATAATTAATAAATCTTAATTAGCTAGATTATAGTAAAAAAAATATCAATTTTATTAAAAATGATATCTAGCCCAAACGATTCATAAATTTAAATTATAGAATTTATTAAAGATGTAAGTTGTTTTTGACATTAAGTCAATGCGTTATGTTAGTCACACATACATGTACGTAAATATTCTTTGTATTGTTCGTCCGAACTTAAAAACAAAAAGAAGAGGAAAGAAGGCATCAGCTAATAATAATATCTTAAGTATTACGTTTTACTGAAGACAATAACGTAAGTCTCAAACTATAAATCTCAAAAAGCCTTTTTTTATCATTAAAATAACTTTCATGAAGACTATTAGCTACCGTATTTTGCTCACACAACACATGCCTACCTTTCCAACACTTTTCACGCCGTTACTAATGCTAAGGTAAACTAGTATCCAGGCGATTAAGTTGCACCAAAACACCGGCCACACGATTCCACCAATTTGGGTGATATTTGGAGACATTTGTAGAAGTCGTATGCTGAAAAGATTTAAATCTTTTTGATGTATAAACTATTTTAATTTAGAATTTGCCAATGTACATTTGGACCAGGTTTTCGTTTATGCCTTAAATTAACAATGCAACAGATTTTTATCTGTTAATCTATCTCTACGTTATAATTAACGGTATTAGGGTAAAATTCAGAGTCGAGACTGACTGTCAGTCTGGTTATAATATAGAAATCATAATCATTATAATATAGAATCATCATAACCTAGTTTAGATGTTGTTTCTACCTGAAGTTTGAAATATGAAAACAGAGGGTTAAGCTCCATGGCTTACCAGAAAAATAAGAAATCTATTGTCATACAGGTTTACGTTAAGTGTTGGGTGAGGAATCGAATAGATCTTGAGAAAATTATTTCGATTTTTGTACACAAGCTTGTGGAATTTAGCTAAAAATTTACAAAATTAACTTACTGAAAGAATTCATCTTCCGGTGTCTTAGCGGTTCCATTAAGTAACAAACTAGAGTTACTAGTTATCTGAAACAAATACATTACATTATAGACACATCCAATTTTTTTTTGCAGACAATCAGTCTCCAAATTGAGCTCAGATAATCTGTCTTCTATGCAATCTAAAGCAATGTTTTTAATTAGTATTTGTATTAAGGGTGCCTGGGTATGAACCAATGACCTAATAGAGGAGAAACGGCTTCAAAGGAAGGTGATAACGCAAAGCAAGTCAGATCTAAAGTAAGGCTAGGTTAACAGAATTTTTAATTACGCGCTCGCGGAATAGTTCTTTTTTAGATGGTTAAATCAAAATCAAAAATAATTTATTCATATAGGTAACACAATGTACACTTATAAACGTCAAAAAAATAAATGCTTCTAATTTTACATTTACTGCCAGTTCCCAAATCAAGGGTGTAGAACGGAAGAGGAGAACTGGGAATAAACTCTCCGCCACTCTTTTTAATCGCCAAGTTTTTTGTTTTACACAATGTTTGTAAGGAGCTGCAATCATATCATTTCAAATCATATCAAGTCCTGTAACGGAGCAAATCGGACACGGGGCAACACATTTCTGCATCTGCTTATTATTCCATGGGAAAGAAAGTTAATACTTAATATTAATGAATAAAATGACACGTAGCGAATAAGAATTGTTTTTGTTACAAGAAATGCCACACCGGTTTTTCTGTCCATTATTTTAATTTCCAAAAGGATTTAGAACTAAATCTCTATGTATATCCGACCACGATATATACTACAAATTCTGTTATTTATTACCTCGGCACATCTATCCGTGTTCCACGAATTCCCACAGTCTTGCCAAGGTAGTGGCGAGCTGAAGGAGTGATATATGTACAGTATCGGGTATGCCATTAACACCGCGAAGTATATAACGGCTATTACGTTTAAAACGACCATCGTGTAACCGGCCCCTGTTGACAAATCGTAAATACAGGAAGCCTGGAAATAACTTAACATAATTTGGGACAAATTTCAAAACAGGGGTTTTTAAATTGGTATCTTTGAGTCGATTTTCTTAAATATTCTAACTTTAAAATGTTGCTGTTCTTGTAACGAGACAGAATTTCATTCGGACTTAGCACAGGCATCTTTGCATTTCGTTTAATTAAAAAGGGTTAAATCGCAGTGTTGGTGTATTCAATTTGACTTACCTTTGAACAATGGAGTGATGTTGAAGACAGAAATACATCCTGCGCTTGCGAACTGGCCCAACGTCGTCTCCAAATAGACAAGAGGAATCGCACATATTGATAATGTCAAGAGATATGGAATTAAGAATGCGCCTGAAAAAGTTATGGAATAATCAAAAAATAACAAAGAATTCTCAACAATGTATACGAGTAGATAACATACATAAGAATCCCTACATCAAAACAACATCCTTACATTAAGACAAATCCAAATAACGACGTCAAGTTCTATTATGTATTACTATTTACTTCTGATCAAAATTACCCTTGACATCGTTTCAATAAATATCTGAGGAGATACTGATAGAAGATTGTTACTTACCCCCTCCATTACGATAGCATAAATATGGAAACCGCCACAAATTACCAATGCCTACAGCATATCCCAGACACGATAACAAATACTCGAGCTGATTACTCCAACGCTCGTGTGGACCCCCTGCCATGACTGACACTACGATTATGACCCTACCGTTGACCACTGAATTGAGGAAGTGAATGCTTAGCGAAAACAATATGGGAAATTCTAAGAGCAATGTTTCCATTTGATTTGTATTACCAAGCCATTTGATGCTTTAAATAATAGAGGATTTTTGTTTGACTCTACATTAATCACTCGCGTACAACACTAGAACATATGCAAAATAATGAAATGTTAATTGCTATGTAACGAATGAATGCATTGTAACAGTTGAAGAGAGTGCATACGTCTGGCTTAACCCTCGGACTGTCACTCCGACGATTTAGAAAATCACCACGCTTATAAAACTAAGAAAGTAAAGCCTGAGTGAGAAAAATGTACAGCCTTGGCTCGTACAATTACCATAATGATAAAGGACAGTAATGAATTTGTTAGAAATTAAGTACGATTATTTCGATTTTGTTGCGTACTTTATTCATTGGGTTAATTCAAGGGTATGTATGTGGCAGTGCAATAAGAAATTATTTATAATTTCTATTTTTTACCATCGATACGTTCGAATTCAGTTCGGCGTTGATTAGAAGAAATTTCAGAATAATCGAAATGTTGATTATATGCGAAGTAAAAGTAATAAAACAATTCAAACATAAACTTTTATTAGTAAAATTTATTAATTAGGCCCGCAAAGTGTCAATGCCAAATCCAAAATGGCAGGTGAGGTTGTCGGGTGGTAGTTGGCGAGAGGATGTTGGATCTGTTTCGGGTTTACCTTTCGTTGGTTTCACTGCACCGAGGCCATACTGAATTATCTGGAAATAGGGTTACACGTATAAATTGTATAAGTATTTTAAAATAATCTATTCAAGGGTAAAGTTGCAAGTGGTACCTTCTCAAGGCATGGCTATGGTAGGCTATGTTTAGTTTTTTTAGGGAAAAAAGATCACGTGGCCGTTCACCAAACAGATGGACCAAGTAAGAGACTCATCAACCTCAATACTGTACACTGGACAGAAACCGGTGGAAACATTTCATTCGCTCCATATGTTTCCTTGCAGTCCACGACGCTCAGACATGAGCTACCAACCGAAGTGAGACACCATCGAATTAAGGTCGGTGCCCAAGTAAAGTGCGGGGAACAGATAATAATAAAATGATTTTTTTTTAATAGAACTGGGAGCAAACGGGCAGGAGGCTCATCTCATGTTAAGTGATACCGCCGCCCATGGACACCCACATTGCCAGAAGACAATATTACTAATGTTACACTTGAATAAAATGAACATATTAATAATGAGTTCACACTAAATTGTAAAAATGTTTTAAAGCATTCCCGGCGGAACAAAACTTGTTTCGGATTTTTACCAGCATTAACAATTATACGCACTGAAAGATCACCATCGCCCCAATGTATAGCGTCATCAGTAAGAAGTGAGTCATCCCAATGAAAATGTTGTGAGTTTTGACTCCAATCCAGCCTCTTCAACGAACACCTTATAGTCGCCAGAGTCACGCGTTGCTCTCCCGGTGGTTTTAACGAAAGAGCACTTTTCTTATCTGCTTTATTTGGTTTGCTTACGACTGTCTGTATACATATATATATATATAAGTGAGTATCGTCTTCATATAGAATTGGTCCTAATTAAAATACGTGGAGCCCAAACCGATTATGGGCTTGAGACGAAATCAGTTTTCGACAGGCGTGACCCCCTAACGCCGTACGAATGTGTATAAAAATGTGTCTCGTTTTGTCATTTACCCTTCTTTATTTATTCTTCCCTTTCTCTGCCAGCCCGGCAAAACTGCATGTGTACTGTATATAAATTGTTTCTTCGGTCATGCAAAAATAGTTAAATAATTTTGTGTGATCCGTTTTCAACTTTTCAAAAGGGTTATGTGTTCGTTCTAGGTATCTCTCTTTAAGCCGTCGACGGCTTGACGACTCCATTGTTATATCTACGCCTCGTACTTCGTGTCAGTACTATACTACCGTAAAACGGACGTAAATCGGCTTAGTGGAACAACAAAGCCCCGGCAGTGTGAAGTGGCAAATCAGCCATGAATATTTGTTTAGAGTTAGTGGGCCGATGCCAGTCGAACAGTGATTTTGAAATTTTGGCAGTTTAAATATTGTTTTTGAGATACAGTACATTTATCGATGAAAGTATATGCTACTGTAAATATCGCTACAACATAATTAATGCTAAACTGCGGGCCTACACCTGAACTGAACTGAACATTGAAAATCGGTTGTTCGGATACATCAATGCATTATTTGATACATACATTTCCAGAATCTAAAATCAAAATCATATACATGCACTTTTTCTCAAGAGTATGATAAGCGTATGTTGTAATGAGTATGTAAGCAGACACCGAAAATTCAGAAAATAATTGTATTTTGACACTCACTATACTATACCAATTGCGCTACAAATTTCAACTATTCTTACCACAGAATATATCAATCTCAGTGTAATAACTGTCCGAAATGTATCTCTCAGTGCCGTGAGGTTAGGGCAAAAGATTCTCACAGTTGGCTCTTGGAAGTTCATGATTTTGTTCCATTGAACCCTGTTGCTCTCAAAGGTGGTGTAATGAGATATTACTCGAGAGTTTTTGTACACTAAACGAGCATAAATATCAGACGCGTGAGATGATGCTTCCGGTTCTGAAAATATTTTTGATGATGATGATATGGAACAGCTACCCTTTTTAAGGCCAGCTTACTTTACATCGTCCAGGTATGGCAACATGAACAATACGTATAATAAATGTTAACGTACTGGAATAGTAACAAAAGTCAGTTGCCAGAAAATAAGTTTGCATCCTAGATCAAATATTTTAATAATTTTTGTAATATATTTTAGATAAGTTAGCTTGTGAGATATAGTATTGTGTATGATGTGGTAAACTTCAATACATAAATAAAAAATAAAACAATAAATGCTCCACTTTACACGGGACAGATCACGATCTTAAAGTCAAAAATCATTTATTCATGTAGGTGTACACTTATGAACGTCAAAAAAGAAATAAACAGTAAATGCTGCTAATTTTACATTTACAGCCAGTTAACAAATCAAGGGCATAGAACGGAAGAGAAGAACTGGCAGTTAACTCTTCGCCACTCTTTTTAATCGCTAAGGTTTGTTTTACACACCATGTTAAACACCACAAGCTGCAACCATTACACCATGTTCCACATGACATCTTAAGTAATACATAATAATAAAATAAATGAACAACAAAGACTTGTCCTCTATCAGCAGGAGGCATGGTGAAATAGGAGCACGCACTTACATTCTCGTGGGAACAACACGCAAATACATAGGTAGTCGAAACAACGGTAACGATGCGAAACAGACGTACCCAAATTTAGGGTTGCGGGGGTGGGAGGGAGGAGGGGGGTGTAGTAATCCCCCCACAAATTTTGCGCTTAGGAAACCAAAAAAATAATTTTTTTTTTTACAGTACTTAATCTGAAAATGATCGCAAGAAATCAGTGTCTAGTATGTATGTAAAGCCAAGTTTTAAAAAATGATAATAAAATAACGCACATTCACGCAAAAATAAAAAAACCTAAAAGTAACGGCTTTTTAACTTATAATTTGATCACTCTGTAACTGTGAAAAAACACTGTTCTGGCAAAATCCACATTCGAAATGGCCGATTGCGTTTTATACTTTATAAAATGAATAGGGATGTGAAAAATAATCTATTCTGTGGAAAGTGAAAATCGATTTTAGTATTCGATTTTGAATCCGATTTTGTATTCGATTTCGGGTTTCAGTTAAACAGTTATTTAAAAAAATATTAATATACGGTTGGTATATTAATATAACCTTTTATTTATATAACCTAACCAATCTAAATAATATTTGTTTTTGTGGACAGCTCCGATCTAAATAGGAATTATTTATTCAAAGCCTCGGCTTCTCGGCGTCCTGGGGGGCTTAATAAAAATGGCTTAACAGTAGTGTATGTAGAAAGTCGAAAACTTTAATTTGTATGAAAATGACAGTTAGTGTCGAAAAGTTTTCATACAAATTTAGTTTTTGACGTTCATAACACTACTGTTAGGCATCTTGACAAAACATCCTTCGGCGACCAAATATTCATTTACTAACCTAACCTAACCAATCTAAATAATATTTGTTTTTGTGGACAGCTCCGATCTAAATAGGAATTATTTATTCAAGCCTCGGCTTCTCGGCGTCCTGGTCGCCTTCGGCGACCAAATATTCATTTACTAACCTAACCTAACCAATCTAAATAATATTTGTTTTTGTGGACAGCTCCGATCTAAATAGGAATTATTTATTCAAGCCTCGGCTTCTCGGCGTCCTGGTCGCCTTCGGCGACCAAATATTCATATACTAACCTAACCTAACCAATCTAAATAATATTTGTTTTTTTGGACAGCTCCGGCGCTACGGGAAATGCAGCCCCTCCACCCTTGCGTACCAAAGCACAGGCACAGGCTCTTCCTCCGCGCCTCCGATTATTTATAAACACTCTAGGGGTAAGGCAGACAAGACCACGTGGATAGTGGGGTGCTCTGATTCGGTTTTGGGTACTTTTTGAATAATTTTCGGAACCATACATTAATTAAAACATGAAGTTAATGTATGTACATTTGACAAGTAATGCTTAAATTAGGTTCAACTATAAAATTAACAAATGAGGAAAATAATCGATTCGATTAGGTTCAACTTTAAAAATAACAAATGAGAAAATAATCGATCCGATTAATTTACCGAAAATGTCACATCACTTATAACCAATAGAAAACGACAATGACACATCACTTATAACCAATAGAAATCGAGAATGTCACATCTCTTATAACCAATAGAAAAGTAGTTAGATAATGGCGGATTGTTTGTGAATTTCAATACAATTCACAAAAGTTAAAAAAATTTTTTAAAATACTTTGACGCTTATCCTAAAGCTAAAATCACTTGGAGGTGTTCCAATCAAGGGTCCCCGAGACTCCTGCACAATCAGTATCATCAAATTCAGGTGCGTTTGACTCACACCCAACCCGAAACAACTAACATCATACACGAATTCAAGTACGACCAGTCACCACAAGTAGCACCCGTTCACGTATCTATCTATATGTCTATGTAGAATTATCATTAGGCCTCCTGATTAGTTCTATTTAATTAATCCTTTTGGAAAATTAAGGAGGTATATTTTTATAAATTTCACGGCGAGTGAAAGATGGCTAGCAAAAAATAGAAAATTGTGGAATAATTTTGGAGGTGGATTAATTAAATTTTGTTGAATAATAGAAAAGAACAATTATTGTTTTACCTGTGGCAATACAATAATTTTATAACATACTGTTAATGTCTTGTGGCGAATATGTGTTTGTATTTTATGGAATACAATAAAGTTACATTATTATTACTATAACATTCTTACCCAAGATCATCCTACTTCCAATATCGGAGGTGTGTTTAGACTCAGACCAATCTTCGTCTTCTGGCGGAGGCATCATTTCAGTCAACGACTCATTTTGACGAAACATCAAAAATTGTCGCCTCATTCCATCTAAGAGCGGCAATTCCAGCTCAACGTGAAATGCAGTGACTGCACCCTATATTTCAATAACCTACAGGCTTATCTCGTAACTTCAATAGCGTTTCTGATGTAATTATTATACAGATAATCGCTTAGCTTGTCGCAAATCTTATTTGTGATTTACAAAAGAGTTTGTTTATGTACGTTTTTGTTGAAAAGTAAAAATGTTAACTGCTTTTTTCATTAAAATTTGTTTAGAAACTAATTTTCTCAAAACAAAAAATGACACTTTAGAACAAGTCGACAAGTAGTTCCAAAGTTTATTTTAATTTTATTTTACTAATTAAGATCTAATCTATAGATTCTCATAAATGTATGAAAACTTTTTTTTACTTTTTCCGCCTTTGGGGGCTGTATGGCCGACATAATCCTAAACACGGTAAAGTTAAAGTATGCAGTCCTCAAATCATCGGGATGGGGTTCAAAGGGCTCCACTGAACGATCAGTTGGTAGAATTTCTCTATTGTCCAACCATAGGAGACGCGGCAGTCGAGAAATTGTCGAACGGGCATAGGCCGCACACACCTATATTGAATATAGCCTTAATAATATTTTTAAAACGTTTATAATTCAATGGTGAAATGAACCGTCGCTTGGGCGAATTTTATGGAATTTGGAAAAGAAAATGGAAGGAAGTTAATATGTGTTTCCTATTTTATTCTACAAGTCACATGTTTTTACATTATTTTTGGAGATTATAATGTCCAAATTAAACTTAAAGAATAACGTGTTGTGAAAATATCTAATACAGTAAAATGAGCAATGAGTCTTATGCGTAGAAAGTCATTTAAAAATGTAGGATTATGTAAAAAGAGCGAGGTTTTAAATAATAAATTTAATTTATTAACATTTAAAAAAACTGTTAGAGCTGTAATGTGCTAAGCTTATTAGAAAAGGTTTAAATAAGTTTACCTATTCGAAAGCGAAATAAACCTCCTCTCAAAACGGAACTAAGAGGGCATTAAATGTAACTAAGATTAACTGTTCTTTACGTATTTATCTATTATTCAAGTAATAAGAACAAGTAAATGGGCGATTTTCATTACGGCATTAAAATTAAGACAACCGCCATCTATCTTCATCACGCGACAACTTACCGAACAAGGATTGCCCGCCAATTGTAAAGCAGTGAGACTGGGCAGCAGCGCTAAGGGATCTAGTACCGAGTTTAGATCATAGATGTCGTTGTCAGACAAATCCAATACTGTAATACTATGCGGTAAGCGCGCCAAACCTAAGGCGCTATCTGAAAAAACAAATCATTAGCCAAATATCAGAATAAAGTTCTGATATTTGGCTATATATATAATTTTAATTTTTATTCGTATTTTTTGACTTGGTTTTGAATAAAACAAAGTTAGAACAACACTAACAACTAACTAATATTTTATAGATGACAATATATTATACAAATGTTAACACACTGTAATAGGTTAAATAAAATCATTCTAAGGAATAAAAAAAAAGTGATAGCCCCCGAATAGGTATGGGGCGGACGCGTGTTTTCGCCCGTTTCAGACAATTTTTAATCGGTTCTATGCGTCCAAAACCTGCGTTTTACGCTTTTACCACTACATTACAACTGTACCATTATTTAGTAAATTTCTGCTAAGACCCAAATACGACATTTCCGACGGTAAATATTCGGCAAAATGTTCAACATCACTCAATCGATTTGCTTGCAACTCAAATACCTTCAGTCCCAGTGGTAGGACAGTCGGATCTATCTTATCTATGTAATTACATGTTAGATTTAATGTCACCACGTTTTTAAATTCCGTTAAATCAGAATCTAGTTCCGTCATCTGTAATTCAAATATTATAAACTGTGTAATGTAAAAAGCACTATTTGATCAAATAATCATTAAATATTTTACGATATGTATAATAACTAGCTGTTAGCGAATTCGTCCCCGCAGTAATGAATGAACCACACCCTGTTAGCTTTATTTTGGCTGCAGATTATATTTAGCGAACGTCTCCTACAGAGGTAGGAGTATAGTAGAGAGCTACTGTATATTAAGTTTGTAGCAAAAAGAAAATGAACAACCTTAATCTGGGTACAGATTCGCAAAATTTTGTATAACAAACTACATCTGCAAAACTTTTCATCTTTGTATGTGAAGCGATTTTCGAAGTTTCATGATTTCGTTTAATATTGATATCCTACTATTTTATTATGAGCGCTAATGCTCTTCAAATGTTGTTCTCGTCTTCAAACAGTTTCTAACATTCTACTTGAAAGCTAATTTCTAACCGTTGCTTACATACAAAATGGATGGTACATTACTAAAGAAAACGTTTGTAATATGTATATGTAATAGCAGTCGCTCGTTCGTATAGAATGATAATCTAAATACATATATGCAAAAAATAATTGCTGTTCGTTTGTCTCGCTAAAATTTGATATGGGCTGAACCCCTGTGGCTAATTATGATCTTGAAATATTTGTGGATATTCACGGAAGGTTTAAACGGTGGGAAACATAAATAATAAGTGAAGAAAAATACTAAGAACGACAATTGAATTGTCCAATAAAACTGTTCCTAGCTGGGATATATATGTATTTTTAGAAAGAAAAGTTGTTTGTCATATATTTTTAGATGCCTTCAGAAATTTGTGCTGTAGTATGAGATCCGACTTTGGTCGGTTTTAAAATATGGTATTAAATTTTGACACAACGTAAAATATACGTATGTGATACGAAGTTCACTGGGTCATCCAGTAAAGAAATATATTCAATTTTTGGAACATAACAAGTACCGTTAAAATATGTACGAACGAGTACCATCGCATACTTACGTTAGATTTAATATAGCGATTGATATAGCATTTAAATAGCAAGGGAAACTATTATTTGATGGCGACATTGACATCGCGCGTATTTTTCAATCCTAATTAGGGAATTTTCAATTCTAGTAGTTTAGAAGATAAGAGTGTTACAAACAAAATCTTCAGTTTTATTAAAGTGCCATGTACCTCTATATCATTCACTCGTAAAATATTCACCAATTTTAGTTCATCATTTAAAATTTTCCGATCATTCAATTTTACTGCTTTTTTTATTAACATAAGCATATCATCAGTTATGCAGTTGCAGTTGTGAAAACATATTTTCCCCTCTTCATTTGCGAACTTTTCGTTGTCCCACAGACTTATTGGTAACATAATTTCCCAATGCTCTTGCAGACTAAGGTTACTTTCTTCATCAAAAAATCCATTTAATATACTCGTTTTAATTTTCTTCTCCAGGGCTACCGAAAATGGCACCCGTGGTATGTTTTCCTTGAGGCATTTTTGTTTATGGTACCTTCCTGCTGCCTCAAGTAAAGTAAAGTCTACGCCCGTTTCTATCCTATCTTGATAACCTAAAATAAAGATAAAATAAAAAATGTAACCATATGATATTTCATATTTTTGAGACATTTTATGTTAAATATTTATCTAATATATAAAATTCTCGAGTCACAATGTTCGTTCCCATACTCCTATGAAACGGCTCGACCGATTCTTATGATTTTTTTATGCGTATTCAGTAAGTCTGAGAATCGGCTACTATCTCCCTAAGAGTTTGAAAGATAGATAAGGGGTGTCAACCCAATTTTTTTTACTTTTATTTCTTTATTATGTGGCATTAAAAATACAAACAATCCTAAATTTTCACCCCTCTACGATCAACCCTACCTAGTTATTTTTATTGAACTAAAAAAAACTCCTAGTAATAAAACAACGTTTGCAGGGTCAGCTAAAGTAATAATATAAATTGAAGTACTTTAATTAGTTAATTAAGCAAATGAAATGAACGGAAGGCTTAATGCAAGCAAACAGAAAACACAATTGAAATTATAAATAGTATCTAAATTAAATTACCTTCTAAAGCATCTTCAGGGGACATAATTGAGCGTAGCATCACTTACATTAGGTCGTTGTATTTGTGTTGCTGGCTTTTTAGCCGTTTCTTTAGGTGGCATTTTCATAAATTCTAATCACATAATATTGGTAGAAAATAAATTACATTAAAAAATGTGACATTTAATTTGTCTATAGGTAATAAAAGAATTTTAGAAAAAATTCATACACAGGTAGGTATAATTTAGAATTATCACAATTCATAAAAACAAAAAAAAGGGACTTCTAAAATTATTTATAGAAAATTACGTAGCATTTAAAAGTAAATTAATGTTTTAATTTTGTAATTTTTACCAAAACTGGTTATATCAAATAATATTAGGCGCCTGTATTTTTATTTTTTTATTTGGCGCGCTTTTTATTTCGGTCGGCCAACGCGTCGCGTCGGTAAAGCAGTTCAGCATACTTTTTGCGACCTATACTATAGAAGTCACAATGACGTATGAGCGTCTTGTACACACTTCACAGCGGATACGTTATTCGTAAACAGCTGTTAACGTGTGAGTTGAACAGTGAAACGTGGGACAAATTTTATTACCTACGTCAGTTATTCATTCATTTATGTACTCTCGGTCTGTGCGCAGTGATAAATAGCTGTCCACACTCGCGTTTGTTTTTCAAAATGTTGTGATAAAAAACACAAATGACAGTGAACGTATAATTTGACATTGACATTCATTTTATGACACGACGGCGCGCGAATTTTGAGAAAGTTTACAATAAAATATTATAATAAAAATGCCGCGTTGTATATAATATAATATTTTCATCTCCGCGTATCGAACGGTGTCAATGATGTAGAGTGAAAGTGGACATATTAGCAGTTTTTACGAGTAGTTGTCATTCTTAAAACATATGGACAGTGGAGACTCCTCTTGATGCCCTTGCTTGCAACATTGGCAAAATATCATTTATCCGAAGAATTTCCGAATGCTTCCGCATTATTTTATTTCTATTTCAAAAGTATTGTAAAGGTAAATATTAAATTACATACATATACATAAACGAATTTGATTTATAGGGAAAAGATTTATTGATACTAAAATCTGAAACGCAAAATAAGGAAAAGTTACACATTTGAATGGAAAACGTAAATAATAACGTTTTCCATTAAAATTTGTTACTTTTTATATGTTTAAATTACTTTTTATATGTTGGCAAAACCATAGGAAATATGTTTCTTTTAAATAGGTTTTATGCCATAAAATTATAAACATTATTTTCTTACAGCAACGGGCGTAATTGCGGGATAGTGGCTGTTTCTAAAATAATAGCATATAATAAAGCATTACTTATATATAATTGATACTAAAAACATTTAAAAACGTCATAAAAGAAACGCAAGTCATCTTGAAAACAGGTTTTATTAAAATTTATCAAACTACGTTTCTAGTAACTAAAGTGAGTAAAGGAATACCAAAGCTTCTTCAATTATTAAACATATTTTTTTGTGATGTATGAATTCTCAATCAAAAACAAGGAATTTTAATTAGAACTAAGATAATCTTAAGTGTCAATTTCTGTAGCTGTGTTTCGCAGAAATTACTAATGAACGGCGCAGACATAGATAAACAATTGAAACATATATATAGATTTAAATCCATTATTTACTATGTTATAAAACCAATAATTATACATCTCTGTTCTTGAGTACTATAAAAATGTAATTTAATCTCATATTCACATGATATGCCTATTAACTATACCTACGACTTTGTCTTCATCTTGTCATCTAATTTTCTACAGTATAAACTCTGTAGAAAATTACATATATTTAATAATGGACAACCTTATATCGGTCTGGGCTTCAGATTGCATCAGTTTCTTCGGTCATTTAGGTAGGTGATCCACCTTCTGTGTCTGAGACATGTAATCGGTTTTTGAGTTTGAGACATGCCGGTTTCCTTTATATTTTTCCTTTCCTCCGATGTTTGTCTTGACCGTAGGCTAGACAATTCCATCGGTGCACAGCCGTGATTCGAACGCACGGCCTCAGGGATTACTGTCGCACTTAAGCCACTGAGCCGACAGTACTCAGTTATTTAAGATCATTCTGTCATGTCAAGTGTAAATAATAACTCTCAATTATAATTTGTTCTATGCACGGACTTTGTACCCGTCAAGGACAAGATCATATCCTTTAAGATCACAATTATCTCGCGCTACAAGTGATTTTCCCTGTCAAACTAATAATGTTATTTTAGTGTAAAGTTATGACAATAACCTAACGGAATGAAATAAACTGTACGAACTATTGTCATATACATAACAAATTTCTTAAGAAACTATCTCGGTAGTAAGTTCAGTTTGTTGTCAAATTCCCTAACAGAAAAACTAAATTAAATATTGCACTACCCCTTTTCAGTAAAACAGTTCATATTCTTCACGTACTGCGTCATTTAGTGTTAATTTTCTAATTTTATCGTATTTTTGTTACAACGTAGGACCAAATATTCTTGTGACATTAAATAATACATTTCACATAATTAGAAAGAAAGAAAAGAAAGATAGAAAAAACTTTATTCACACAATAACAGGATATTTAGGTAAAATAAAGTGCACTAGCCCCCACAGTCCACACTAGGATTCCCCGTGTTGTGGGCAGCCATTCTTTTGACATATAAACTTTACTTTACTTAATGAATTCTACATAACACAAATTTATAATTAAACTATTTTTTCATGATAAGAATATTTTCTGTATCATCATAGGACAGGTTGTTTCAACATTAATAGATAATAATACAACACTGTCTTTATTCTCATTGTTTAGCTGCAAAAGAAATTTGTATAACATTAATCTAATTAGATAGAACGAATTACTTCAATTTATGTTTAATCCAAAAAATATTTAATTGTTTTTACTATTTTCGTGTGAAACCGTGCCAGACTGGTTACAACGTTTTTGAACCGAGGTGAAAATATGTTAGGCTGTTTTGGCTTTTTTGGCTGGCACTAAAAGCGATAATAATTTAATAACTGCATCACTTTAATCTGATCTAAAATATTATAGACCGATAACCTATCTACAAAACGCGAGTTTTATCTCAAAATATAGTTATAAAATGCTGTTACAACAATATTTCTTTTAACAGAATCAAGATGCCGTCCTTTACTATGACCGAAGGTGGTTTTGGTGTGGGTGATTATGTGGTTTTCGGGACGCTGTGTAGTATGTCCTGTGCTGGTGGGATTTGGTACAGTGCGGTGGGATCAAGGACGAAGGCGGTACGAGATCTTAAGGATTACCTGCTGGGTGGGAAGTCGATGTCGACTTTCCCAGTCGCAATGTCATTAATAGCCAGGTAATTTTGCGAATTATTTAATACTCGCCTTAATTTTACGATTCAAATATATACTTAATATGTAAAGAAACTAATAATTATAGATGATAGTTAATATTGTAAAGAGGAAACGTTTGTATTTTTTGTATGTTCACTGAATTATTTCAAAAACTCCTTCAACATTTCTTTCCGAAATATAAAAAAGGCAAGCTGTGCGATGCCTGTTTGTTGCGTAAAGATTTAGAAAGAGTCAAGATTTAGCGCGAAATCTGACTTCTGTGCGTCAAAAATGTTTTGGATTTTGATATATGAGAGTCATAATTCGCGCTAAATCTCCTTTGTGAATCTCATACTAATATCGTTCGTCCATAACTCTTAAATCAAGGTTAATCAGTATAACTGAAATACACCTTTATAGTTATGAATATTTTGTATGCATATATTAACAATAACCCAGTGGCGCTACAACCGTAGATGGGTCTCATATTGCATCTGTTGCTTTGATTTATTTTTATTTCATAGACAAGTAGGTGATCCTTCTGTCTGACACATGTCATCGATTTTTGAATTAGACATGCCGGTGTCACGATGTTTTACTTCACCGTATGAGCGAGTGTTATGCGCACATAAACAGTAAGACTATTGCACGGGGATTAGAAACCTACGACCTGAGATAGAGATTCGCCAGAACAACTTTACAACAGGATAGCACTTTGATTTTATGGGTATAGACGAAAATTTAATGTTATTATCTAATATATAAAATTCTCGTGTCACAATATTCGTTCCCATACTCCTCCGAAACAGCTCGACCGATTCTTATGAAATTTTATATTCATATTCAGTAAGTCTGAGAATCGGCTACTATCAATCTTTCAAACCCCGTAAGTGATAAGGGGTGTCCAACTTTTTTTTTAGTTTTTTTTCGATACAGCATACAACAATACATACAACCCCTAATTTTCAACCCTCAACGATCAAGCCCTATTTTTTATTATAGTAGATAGTTATTTTTATTGAACTAAAAAAATGTTTCCTAGAAATAAAAATATACATGGCAAAACGACGTTTGCCGGGTCAACTAGTAATTCTATAAAAAAGTCAATAAAAACATTGATCAAGATAAATATATGTGTAATTAAATATTTATATCAAATCAAATTAGGATTAAAAATGGTAATGTCATATTTGATCCATCTCTCGATATATCCATTTGTGGTTACAATAATTGAAATCGTAATTAAAATTTAATGGTTATGAACCGCATCGAAACGATTTTGCAATCAGAAAATTAAACGCAATTTTTTTAAACATAATTGTTCTTTAAACTACTACTTGTGTTTCACTTAATAATAAACATATAATATTAAGTCCTTACTATTTACAGGTATTTTGTATGTATTAAATATGGGTTGACGAAAGTGGTCGAATATAAATCTCATTTTTTAAATATTTTATTCATGTATATATACCATATACATTATGCAGTCAAAATCTGTTATAAAGATAGTCGTAACAGCCGATGACGTTGTTATTAAGTACCTAATACAATAGAATTCAGCCGAGACCTTTGATTTTGGTCAATATAACCGGTATGTTGTTCTAAACGATGTCGTCGTAAACGGTTTTGACGGTATAACCATTCAACATTTTATTATCATTGGTGGGAACAATGTAAATAACAAAAAATTCTTCTGGTGCCAATTTCCTGCTAAAGGTGGGCTTTTAACAACTTGAATTGCCGGGTATCTTGCGCTTAGTCTAAAAATTTCATCGACGGATGTGATGCCGGTCCAAAACGTACGGGAGGTTCTGCAATCACCACTTCCTCCTATCAGCCCGTCACTTTCCTTGAATTTTTCCCATCATTATAAACTGCAACAAGTCGTATCGATGATGACGCTAAATATGCGTCCTAGATATGCGACTTTCTGTATTTTAACAGTAAACTTTCGTGTCGTCCCGATTCGTTGAGGATTCATTCGTCACTCTCTTGATCCAGCTGATGCGAAGCATGCGATGATTACACCACATCTCAAATTCTTCGAGGGGTCTTTTTGTGTCTTCTTTAATAGTCCATGTCTCACAGCCGTATAATGCTACTGGCCAGATATAACAGAGTAAGAGTGGGTCTCAGTTTGATACTCATGAGGCGACAACATAGTATTTTTTTCAGTTAATGAAAAGAAGCCCGGGCCATTTCGATTCGATACATGCCCCTAAGTAGTTGTATTGCCGCACGCAATCAAGTGTTACCTGCTACTAAATCGAGAATTATATATATTTATTTGCTTCTTCACAAATTTGCATAATATAGGTATTGGCTTTGTGTGAGGCTGGTTCCTCTAATAGGACTACAGAAGTCCTGCGACTGCGTGGTGTTTTCACTAAAATCATAATATGATTGACATTGTTTTTAATAGAAGGTGATCTGTTATAAACAATGTCATAATTGTAAATATTTTACGTGTCTACCCTACTCATTCTTTGGAAACAATAGAAAATCTATATCTATATAAATGTAAAACAATTGTATTATATCATTGACTATGAAATTAGTTATAAATATAAAAAGTGCGTGCGTACAAAGAACCCATGTCTGAAGTGAAACTTCTTTGGCAAACTAATTTTTAAGTCTTGTTCATATTTATACAAATCTAAGACTTTAGATTTCAGAGACTTAGAGGGAGGGAAAAAGGAAGATATGTTTCGAATTTAATGAATTTAATTGACATTAAAATATTAAGTGTCCAAAATTAATACAAATTATATATTTAATTTTTAAATTATTGTGTATAAAATATAAAATACACATTTTTCATAAATTCTCTTTAGGAAATTTTAATTTTAAACATAGAATTTCTATAAGGTAATCGCTCTCTCCCTTTTCTTCGAAAAAAAACGCTGCACATCTCCGTGACGCTAATATTATTATTATTGCGTTTCATCCGTAAAAAATTTACCCTCATGCGCCTAAACAAGTTTCACTTCAAAAAAGTCCTAAAGACGTAAATTTTGCGTTACCCCATGGTAAATAATATTAACATTATAAGGTAAATAATATTAATATTATAAGGTAAATAATATTAACATTATAAGGTAAATAATATTAATATTATAAGGTAAATAATATTAACATTATAAGGTAAATAATATTAACATTATAAGGTAAATAATATTAATATTATAAGGTAAAAATAATATTAACATTATAAGGTAAATAATATTAATATTATAAGGTAAATAATATTAACATTATAAGGTAAATAATATTATTAACATTATAAGGTAAATAATATTAACATTATAAAGGTAAATAATATTAATATTATAAGGTAAATAATATTAACATTATACGGTAAATAATATTAACATTATACGGTAAATAATATTAACATTATAAGGTAAATAATATTAACATTATAAGGTAAATAATATTAACATTATAAGGTAAATAATATTAACATTATAAATTCATAATAACACGTTACGTATTAATATTTTATTGAAAGAACTGGAAGTTTTTAATACTTAGTTTTTTAATATTATAATTTTTTTATTAGTGCGACACGTTTATTTCTTAACTTGGCGTATTTTTGTGCTGTAAGCAAATAAATGCTTCATGCTTATTAGGTAGGAATTCAAATTGGAATTGACTTCACGTCCTTGAAGTGAAGTTTAAAAGGTAATTAGTTTAAATCTAGCTATTATTGACCCAAGGTTTTATGGTTTTTCACTTATTATTACTTCCTGAATCATAATGAATATGAATTTATTAGAAATATTTGGAAAATACGATACAAAGTTAAAAATAATCCTAGAGCTACTAGTATAACATATTGCACGTTACATTTAGCGCGAACTTTTCCTAATAACTCGAACCAATGATATAGTAAGTTAAATATAGAAATTAAGACAAAATACAGTAGAATAATCATACAAATGCAACAGAAAGAATAGAATCATACCAAACATATTGACTTCAGATAAATTCGATAAAGATATGAAGGCTTTCGAAACCTTGATGAGAAAAATTATCATTCCACCCTAAAAATATTTTATTTTAAGTAAATTTCTGCTGTTTCAATTGCAAAGGATTCTATTCAATTTGTATAGTTTATTATACCAATACTATTCGATCGAAATATGTACATAGATAAGCCATTCCTTACGTTAACTATTCGATTCCATGTATTGTGGTACAGAATAGGCCTTAACTTTTAGTTGTCTAGGAATGAGAATAAAATATGTATGTTTATTTTCAGTTACGTATCAGGCGTTACTATTCTCGGTACCCCAGCGGAGATATACAACTATGGTACCCAGTATTGGCTCGTGATTGTTGGAGTGGCTCTCAGCTGCCTCATAGTGGCTACCATGTACCTGCCGGTGTTCTGCACTTTGCGACTTTCGTCTTCATACGAGGTAAGTTTAATAAAGATACTGGACTATAAAAAAAATATTTGTGAAAACTACATCAGAATAAGATATTTGTAGAAAGAAAACGTGGATTACTTAAATTGAATAATGCCAAGGCAGAATACAAAATACCATCTGAGGTATTCCTGAACCAATTCGACTTAGGGTCCTTCAAGATAAGAGCGTATCAATTCTTAAAAGGCCAGCAGTGCCCCTGCAAGCCTTTTGGCAGTGCGAGTGTCCATGGGCGGCGGTGGTGTCCTATATCACTTAACATCGGGTGAGCCTCCTGCCCGTTTGTACTGTATAGTTTGTCCAGCAACATAATAAAATAATGCCACGATGTAATATACAAAAAACTATAAATATGTCACCAATCTAAACAAAGGCAAATTTATTAATGTATCTAAGATTAAATTTTGCATCCGGGTTTTTGACATGATTTGGTAACAAGATTGAATATCTCATCTGCATATATCGGTGGGGGTCAATTTATCAGAGACTTTATCTTGATTTATCACATCCATCGAAAATGACACAGACTACTGTTGAAATGCGGACTTTGACTCCATGTTCAAGGTACATATTTATTACTAGATACAGCTGCAGAAAATCTCACTACTAATGTGGCGTCACTATGCTAAAACTCAAAAAAAATATTATTATTTTATAATTTGTTACTCACGTAATATTGAACAGAATACTTACACGCCAACTCACGATCAGCGATCTTTTCCAGGCAACCCCATTTACAATTGATTATTAAAATAATTATCAGATAACTTTTATATTTAAAGTTTAACATTGCTTTAGACTTAGATTGTGGCTTAAACCAAGAAAATTGAGCAAAACATCGTATGAAAAATTTTAAGATTTTATTTGTACTTTGTCAAACTGACTGGCTATTATACTTCTTATTCATAAACATTTTTCTTTATCATTTAATTGGAAATAAATTAATAATACACATATAAATATAGGTACTTGATCGTTTTTATGTTGTTTTTGTCAAAGTTTTAATTAATTACACAAAAAATCCGTTACATAATATGTACCCGTCAATAGTGTCGCGGAATCAAAGTATGGCTGGCCTTTTAAAGAATGTTTTTGTTGTTGTTATGTCGTTACCACGGTTACCATTATTATTGAATACAA